TATTATTTAATATTGCTCTGGAAATAAAAGTCAATGCAAGGTAAAAACAGAAGGAAATAGATAGTAGAAAGAAATGAGAAAGTTATCACTATTAGGAATTTACTAGGAAAACCTATGGAATGACCTCTATAACTATTACCAGTCTGAGTACATGGAAAGTTGGATAGGAGATGGAAAAACGGTAAACTCTGAGGGATGGGTTTGTGGACTATACTTACTCTTTTTGTACTTTTCTGTATTAATTTTTATAACATAAATATAATGTGTTTTTATAAAACAATATAAATTTACATATACAATACGATCCCTATATCAATGAGTTTAGACTAAATTATGTTGTGGTAACAAATAACACCAAGTCTTAGTGGATTACAACAAAAGTGTATTTCTCCCTCACATTACATACCAATTACAGGTTGGTTTCTGCTCTCTTCCTTATTATCTTCAGGAATCTAGGCTGGAGGAGTAACTTTTGTGTCAGCCTTCAGGCCAAAGAAAAAGAGAGGCTTGGAGCACCATATGGTGGCTCTTGAAGCTTTTTCTCAAAAATGCCACTTTTGCTAACGTTCCATTGGTTAAAACAAATCATTTGGCCAAATCTGAATTCAGTGAGGTGGAAATACATAACCTTCCCTTTGGGAGGGACCCCACAGAAATGGAGCATATATTTTTTGAATGATACAACCTACAACACGCCAAAATTTTTGACTATATCTACATACAGGCATATTTGTATGTGTGCATGTGCGTGTGTATATATAATACATATTTTCACAGATAAATGATAACAAAGAAACACATACAATGTGAACAATGACCTTGAATTATTCTTGATATACAAATAGAAAAGAAGCCATTAAATTTGTCAATAAGGAGTTCAATGTAATCCAAGTTAAAAAGTAGTTAGGGCAGGCCGGGCGCAGTGGCTCACGCCTGTAATCCTAACACTCTGGGAGGCCGAGGCGGGAGGATTGCTTGAGTTCAGGAGTTCGAGACCAGCTTGAGCAAGAGCAAGACCCTGTCTCTACTATAAATAGAAAGAAATTAGCCAAACAACTAAAAATAGAAAAAATTAGCTGGGCATGGTGGCGCGTACCTGTAGTCCCAGCTACCTGGGAGGCTGAGACAGGAGGATCGCTTGAGCCCAGGAGTTTGAGGTTGCTGTGAGCTAGGCTGACGCCATGGCACTGTAGCCCAGGCAAGAGAGTGAGACTCTGTCTCAAAAAAAACAAGTAGTTAGGGCAATAGTTAAATTCTAATAGGTGAGGAGATGAGAGTTGAAAAAGTAGATAGTATTATAGGTTATGCTTTCTAAAAGTTTGATGCTTAAGAAAAAAACAGAGTAGTTTAAGGAACAGGTAAATGTTTTAAGACTTTTTAAAGATGATACAAGTCTTATTTGTGTTTATTGGCTAAAGAGTAAAAATTAAAGACTGCTGAGGGTTTACTAATATAAAGTGTTAAGCCATAGAAGAATTCCTCTTCTACTGAAATAGTAGGATAAGCATGAATGTTACTTCTGCAGGTGAAGGGAAAGCAATTTAGTCATTCCTTTAAAAAATATTTATTGAAAATATAAAAATTTCAAAGCCCTGTACTCAGATAAAGAGAAAACAAAGAAAAATAAGGCATAATCCTAGCCCATGAAGAGCTTGCAATATAATAGGGGACACGGTACAAAATCATTACTTTAAGAACAAAATGCTATGAGAATACACATATACAGCAAGCTCACATCTGCAAGATGACAGATGTGTGAGATTTTCCACAGATGGAGAAGAATTGAATGCAGGAAACAAAGTAAACAAATGATCAGAGACTTGCAATTGAAAATGTATGTTATCTAGGCTATTACAGAGTGATTAAGAGAACAGGTTTTGAAGCCTTGTAAAATAGACCTAGATTTGAATTCCAGCCATTCTACTTTCTGTGTGATCTTGAAATAAATAACCTGACCTCTGTAAAAATAAAGATAATAATAAATAACATTGTCCTGTAACTGCAGAACCAGCCCAATCTGGTTCAACTTTATGTAATAAAATGGTAAGTTGTTTTTCGGATGCCATGGACCACAAGGTTGCAAGTTACATAACCTGAATATGCCCAGATGAACCAAGCGTGCAATCATGGGTGGAACCTAAGTGCTCACACCAAAGAAAGGGCATGAATTAAGAAGTGGACGCAACATGGCATGATCCATGATCAAATTAAATTAAGTCTTGGCATGACTCCATGGCATTATCCAGTCAGGTCACACCTCTTAGCATTACCTTACTGCAAGATCCAAAGAGATCATACCTCATTACATTCTGCCTATAAAACCTGCCCTAGTGCCCCAGCTTGGGAAGACAGATTTGAGCACTGTCTCCTGTCTCCTTGCCAGTAGACTCACAATAAACCCTTTCTTTTTTCAAAAGCTGGTGCCATGGGGTTGACTTCTACACACATCAGGCAGTGAGCCCACTGATAGCTTGGTAACGTAAGAATTAAATTAGATGTTAGGTAGGGTATTTAACACAATGCCTATCATATAGAAAGCCAAAAAAAATGGTATTTGTCATTTTAAATTGTGAATCAATTCACTTTGTAAACTGCAAAACACAATATAGATAGCCATTTTTCCCGAAACATGATGAAAAGCTTTAAAAAAGCTAAATATATAACAATTTTTAACATGAGATAATATTTCTCAAATATAGTATATTTAAAAGCATTCATATTCTTAAAAGTATGCTTATATTTACATATGTTTAGCATTTAAATGAGGGAATATTCTAAATACTTCTGGAAAAAAGCTAACAGGGAAAAACTATATTTTCTCACCCCTAGATACTAAAACTTATCCAATTATTTTCTAATATGATATTTATAAAAATGCAAAGTTGCACCTAAACCTTACAATCATTTTATCTGTAATGCCACAAAACCTACTTTTTCTTCTCTTTCTATTTGAAGTTGCTTCTTAACAGACAAAAGTTCATTTTTGAGATTAGATAGTTCAATTTCCTAAAAAAAAAGAAACAGGAAGTTTATAAGTGCTATCAAGACGACGAAAATGTAAATTATTGCTTCAAGTAAATTCAGTTTTGTAGAGAAATAAATTCACTGTACTTTAAAAGTCTCCTGAGATAAAGGCTGCCAGTCCAACATAACTAAAGACTTCATTTAAACAAGTATTTATTGTTTTCTCTAAAGAAAGATTTAACACCATGCGTATCTCTCCTACTCTCCCAATTTATGCCACCCTCCTCTCCCAATCCCCATCAGAGCGCCAAACTTGTTAACTGGAGTTTATAGCATTTCATGTGAAAAAAGAATTTGTTCCACCATTTAAAAAAAATAACTTGGAAAAACACTTAACTATTAATAGAAGATCTGTAAGATCCCTTTCAGATTTAAGACTCTGATTCTGTAGCTCAAAAATTACAGTTTTCCTTAATGTTATTTTTTACCACCAGCCATGCTGATGATATGAAAATTGGCTTTTACTGCTGTTTGTTCTGTATCTTACCAAAGATGCTTTCATTGATAACTGTTCTTGTTCTTTGCTCTTATAAAGTCCTAATTCTGAGTCTCTTTCTTCAACAATCTTATCATATTGGTGCTATATTAAACAAAGAAAACATTTTATGTACATTAAAACTGAATAGATGTTTTAATAAGATTGGTACTCTAACATATTTACAGAAAATGATGTTTATAAATTCAGTAACATATATCTTTGAGAATAGATTTTTAAAAATTTTTTCAATTATACTCTTTTCATTCAAACAACCTAAACAGCAAAACACTTGTTCCAAGACAACAGTCTTAGAAATAAGAAAAAGAATATATAACACTAGAGCAAGAAATAACTCTTCTTAATTTTAAGGTACCACTGAATTTTGTCATTTAAAAAAACATGCTAGAAATACCAGGACCTATAGAAAAGTGGCTAATTTCAAATCTGCTACACAAAATAGAAGATAAGCTTTGAATATTTTGTCTAACAAAAAGAAAGTTATTCTCTTAGTCTATTTAACTGGAGACTATTAGTGTCAAGTCAAAATCCCACTAGCCAAAGGTGGGACAATTTGAGTTATCAATAATGATAAAAGCTACACTGGATTGAAACACACCTAATTTGTTTAAATCTATGAGTTCACAATGTTATTTAAATTATTTTTTTAAATCCTCACTGGTTACCTCATAATGATGTTATAGTCCAGCAGCAATTTTTAAAAATGAATAGGTAGATATATCCTACCTTCTCTCCAAATCATAAGGGGAATGAGGCTTAATTCCCTAACAGATGGATTACTCTACAATAACAATGAAAAAATAAAGGACACTCACACATACAACAAACACTAAGCTTTTCATCAATTTATTCCTTTGACAAAAAATGGTTTAGCCTAGTATGTGTTAGATACATGCAGAGGATACAAATATTAATGAGATACATATCCTATATATGTACTTAAATAAATATAAAGTGGAAAGTGCTATAAGAGACTACTAGGAGAATCCAGAAAAAGTGATTACTTCCATCCAACACAGATGATTAGGAGTGATTTCCTCAGGGAAATGACACTCGGGCCCAGCTATGTATGGTTAAGATCTGAACTTGGAGAAATGGTGGATCAAGAGTATTCCAGCTATAGCCATTGTTGCACAGACAATAATTTTCTCTTACAAATCACAATACTATCATGTTTCACCAATTCTTAATGGAAATATGGCTCCAATTAATAATTTTTATTATACAAAAAGAAAAAATTACCTTATGTTTTTCCATAAGTGCTACCATTTCAGCTATTTTATGTTGACATCGTATATCGATTTCTTTCTGTAATTTTACTGCTTCATCAGCTATTAGTTTTGCTTTCTCAACCTATCAAAATGTTTCTTAAAATTAATGCACAAAAACCAAATTTAACTTAAATGCAAAGAGCATATGCTCTGCTTATATAAAATGCAAAGCTCGAACACCAGGAAATTGTAAAAACCAAGTAGAAAATGTACTATTATTCTGGTTTCTTTTAGCGTGTTCTATCAAGTGAGATGATGGTACAATACTGTGACAATCACTTAATCCTTTCAAAATAATTGTATATTACTCCATACTCAAATACTTAGAATACAAGGATATTTTTTACTTCT